ATATATATATATATATATATATGCCATACGCAATTGCTTGACTTGTTTTTACCATTCGTTTCTAGTATTGTTTTCTTTTTGTTGTTTTTGTTTTTGGTACGGCTGATAAAGAACTCCAAGGAAATTAAACGCCAAAAGTGCCAACAAAGGCGCGCCATAGTTTTAATTACTTATAACTGAAAATTGGGAACAGCAACAAAATGTACATGTCGGTTCATTCTTTTACTTTTTCATTAAATCCATGTCCGGGGCTGCAACCACCACTGAAGAAGAACAACCCACCCATAATGGCCAAGGCCTGGTGGCGTGGTTCAATCAAATAAAAATGAAAATTTTGTAATGGCGTTTCTTGTTGTTGTGGTTGTTCTTGTGGTTGGCGGTGTTCGGTTTGGTGAAAGTAAATTGAGTTCAAGCAATTTCTATTAACCTGCTCGACTCTCTCTGCCCATTAATCATCGAAAGCACGCAATGTTATCCCCAGAGCTACCGACTCCCCAGCCCTTAGCTGGAATATATGTACGATTGTATCTGCGTTCAGCTGCTAGGAATGATGCCTCACTAAGCTAAATAGAAGTTGAGCAAAGTTTGCTTAGTTTATTGGCATTATCAGTATTCAGTTAACCGAGAATTAGTCAACTAGGCTATAAACTGAGTTTATATTTGCAAACGTTACAGATCTTCAGCTCAAGGATATCCGTATATCCATTAGTTCTGCTGACTGCACTTTAACAACAGATGAATTTTAACTATAAGCTCGATTTTCCGTTCCAATACGAATGGAAAAATTTCGTTACATTATGGTATCATATATTGGCTACGAATATTAAATCAATATTGGGAATTAGAAAGAATAGCCTTTTACAGAAAAGTATTTATATAGATTACTTAGGCATCAGAAGTGTATCTTGTCTTTAAGTTTCGTTATTGCTCATCCAAATTTTTATGTTCTTATAGAATTGTAGATATTAGAGATTAAAGAAAAAATTCGAGTATTGGCTTCGTAATTGTCGTGTAACCGTAACGTATGCGTTAGCAACTGATTAATTATTATTCATACGCATTTCCATGGCCTGAAAATATTGTTACAGATTTTATATATAGATAATACATATAATTGTGAATTTAAAATAATAAATTAATCATAAATTGTCTATTTATCATACTTATATTTACTATATAGAAAATATACTTATATTTACTACATAGATAAGTTATATAAAAAGTCTAAATGTACCCAATGACAACACCCAGTAAAAAGTTGCCTCTGTTTCATTTGTTTGTGGCTTGGCAACGCCAATTGCCGTTCACCTTCTTTATACGCACCTTTGTTTACCAATATGACCAGGCATGACTCATCATAATAACTGACAATCCATAATAATCCGTTGTCTTTACTGTTGTTGCTGCTGCTGCTGTCATTGCTGTTGGCCTTTGTGGCGAAGGTTCAACAACGACAGCGCCGCCATTAACAATCATGGCTACTGCTGCTGGGGTTGAAAGGGGCTTCTGTTGCGGGTTGGTTGTTTTGGTAGCCAAACAAGGCGACACCGACAGTCCCTCAGATATGATGAACATTATTAATTACTTATGACCAAAACAAAAACAAAAAAGAATCACATAATATTGATATATATCAGTAAGTATATATATGTATATACATACATATGTATGTATATATATTTTTCTTTGTTTTGTGTAAACCGATTAAATTTATAGAATTGTTTATAAGAGCTTCACTTGCACTTGATACTGTATGTGAGAGCCCACCACTTCAGTATTCGATAATGGACGTAAAATTGAAAGCGCCAATCGCTCTGCGGTACCAATAAATTTCTTAAAGAAAGATACCCGTAAGCGTAGCGACGAGCCCGTGTCACTTTTCCGCGTAACCTGAGTAAGTGTTTTACGAGTCTGTTAACTTTGCTCGTTACCCCCAATGGCATATTGTGCACACTGATTGTTCCTATCAACAAAGTGATTTTTCCTATCGTCGTCGCATATAATACACCTCTATATATATATAAAAGAATATATATATATATGTAAACATATCGAATATCTGAGAATAGATAGTGGCCTTAGATAAGTTAACGTATCTTAACAGAGATTTCGAGCCACACTCACTCGCAGAGAGGGGCAACAGGCCCCCAAATATGTAAGGGAGAGAGAAGCCCATGCAGAGACAGCTGCTCCTTAACCTACTCCAATGGGAGTCAGTCCGTGCGATATCTGGTTGGGCTGTGTCAACATCTAGGGCTTACCTGGTGGCCACCAGGTGTGAGCTGTAATCGCAGTTCATTTGCTTAACCGATAATGCGTGCGCCTCGTGACGTTGCCAATTTCTTGCGTCGGTGACCTAGCTAGATAAAAGTATCTAATCTTGGCTTTTCAGCAATATATATATTTATATATTGTATACATATAAATACAATCACATGCACATAATATGCCTCTGTATTTATAAGATAATGAAGATTTGCTATCAATTTGTCGCTGCAGTTGTTGTTGCTGCTATTGCTGCTGGTAGTAGGATATCGGTATCAGTATAATAATTTTTTTTTTTTTTGGGTATCTGTTAGGTTTCCCCATCGCCTGGCCTTTGATTGCTTTGGGCTTGGACTGGCTGTGCTTCTGGTTCTGGTTGGGCTTCGGTCTCTGGTGCTGGTCTCTGTCGCCTGTTGCTCTGTATCAGTATATCAGTGTTTGAACTGATAATGTCCCAAGATAATAAGCGATAATAATTTGAATTTTTCAGTAATTCCTTAAGTTTGGACGCCCAACGGCATGGAATCTAATCACAGTTGGTGAGTGTAACTGGGATTTTCAACATGGAAACATTGTTATTTTCGAACCGCGCACGCTCAATATTAAAATAGAACACAAAAACAAGATCTACCTATATACATATCCATATATCCTGTATATTAATGTGACATCTTTTGCTTTCAATGTGGCTGCAATTAAAAGCCCGCCAAATGTGATTTACATTAAAGTTATTTATTAACATTTATATATTTATTTAAATTCAGTAAAGTGCATGGATAAATCGTTGTATATAAATTAAAAATAAATTCAAGAGTGAAGTTTCGGAAATATCGTAAATACACTTAAAAATAATTTAATTTTCATTAAAATGCATCTAACTGAGGCCTTAAATGATCAAAGCTAATTCCGAATTTAATATTAATTTGTTATTTATAATTTTCAATTGGCATTATAAGGTTCAAATTCAAGAGAAACAATTAAAATACGTCTACATACAGAAATACTTATATACATATGTATATTTAAAGATCGTATTCGAGTAGCACTGAACGCAAAGGTAGCCGTTGAAATAAATAAATAATTTTTGGCATGCCGATAAGATAAAAGTACGCATTAACTTAAACAATTTCCTAGAGTGATATAAATTTAGAGCCTTTTAAAAGTCCGAAATGGGGGATAACTTATAAAAGAGCAATGCATTTCATAAAAGATAAAACAGCGGTTTAATAGAAGGGTATTTTTGCTAACATATTTATAATTATCAGATTGATATGACTTAGAAGACTTAGACTTATATATATGGCTTATAGTTTATACATGTTATTATTTATTTCTATTGTTTATTGCCGAGCATTTTTAATTTCAGCGTTACCTATGAATCTGCCAACTGCATAACGTTTGACAACTGTGATCAAGATTTGAATACATAATTTCTCAAACACATAAATTTATATTAATAATTTATTATACATAAGAATATAAATATGCTAAGGCACCCGAGAACTTTCATTAATGGTTAAAAGAGTTTATAATAAAACAACATAACATTTAGAGCCGTAATTGCTGTAAGTAAAGTATTTAAGCCAAGAAATATGTTGTTCATGTCGCCAGTCTTTCAGCTAAGTAAAAATTCTGCCAAGACGACGTTGATGACAGTTCGGCGTGTCTACATACATATTTCATTTCATTTGAGTCCGATGACTTCGTTCGCCTGCCCCTTGCCTCATGCCAGCTGTGTCTGATGACATGTCAGCTCGTCGTTCTGTCATTGCGTCGACAGTCTCGTTCGCTGTTACGACTGCTTCTACTTTATTTCATTATCTTAAGTACACAATTTGAAGTACAAACGTCAGTTGGCGATAAGGCCAAGAAAGACATCAGACAGGCAACAACAATCAGAGCAATGAAATGTTGCTCTAAATGCAAACTGTTTGCATTTCCATTCAAAGACCCGGAATTGTTTTTCCACCTAGACTCAACTGAAACGCAGACAGCCAAATGTTGTGCATTTTCTACCAGGAATCCCGAACGAAGTAAAACAAACAGTTGTCAACATTGAATTAGGCACACCGCAGGCATTGAAAGTAAGCTTGGCTTTCCTGTATTTGTCAGATACTTTTTATGTACCTGCACTTTTTATGTGGCAGGCGTTCTCCATGCCCGTTTCTTGTACTTTGTGCATATGGTAAATAACATTATCAAATCATATTATCTTATTTATAAGCATTATCGTTGCCGCGCAGATACAGATTGCCTATCTATGGCAATGGGCATGTAAAAAATAATATCTTACCGTGCGGTTATTTCGTTGCTCGCACAGTAAGTTTTGCACTTTCCATTTAAACGCGCGGCGTTTTGTCCCTCCGTCCAGCTAGCTCTCTGGCGTCACTTAACCCACATAATAATTATTATTTTATAATTATTATTATAGCGTGTAAGTGTGCGTGCGTGTGTCTGTGTCTATGCCAACAACTACAACACCATAAAGTGACACCACAGTCGCAAATCTGAAGGAAAATGTGCCGTTCTAATAAAACACAAAAACAGTAACAAAATAAAGCATAAACAGTGCCATAAAAAGTTGAATGTCGTAAATTACGAACTTTGTGTGTTTCGGTACATATACTATTTGCGGTGTCTGTACACACCTAAACGAGTGCGCAAATATCAACTTGCTGCGCTGACAGCAAAAATGTTCAAACTTAATGAAAAATAGCTATTGTTGCTGTAAGACATAAAATTCTGAAAAAAAAAAAAACATTCATAGAATTTTAATTAAAAAATGCCAGCGCAATTATTTCTAAATAGTTGCCAAGCTCTTGCCGAAATTATTCCTCTCCAAATATGAATGGACTGTTTCTACGAAAAATGCCAAAGTAAAAAGAAATCAACCTAAAATAGTCCATAACACACCGTCCTAAAGATAAATGTTTAAATAGTGCCTGAAATTACTAATTTTTGATGACTTGAACAAGTTTTTGTGTGGCAAAAATGTAATATTTCATAAGCTAAAATCATCATACTACGTTATGTGTCAGTGGAAATTATCCAACAAGACTTTGTTATCTGTATAAAAAAAAAAAAAACGAATTGTATTTGCTATAAGCTTTATAAGTTCTGTGTGAACCACCCTTGTTCCATTTTATGAAGCAGTTAAACAAAAGGCCGCAATTGTCAGCATTACGCTGCATTACACATACAAGCAAGCACACACTCAAGCACACACATACATACATACACAATAAATTTATCATGCTTGCATTATGTACAACGGCCGTTGCTATGTTGTTGCTGCTTTTCGTTTTGCGCGTGCGGCAACAACTGCGCCGCCATTTTGAAATCAAGATGGCGACAACGATAAAGCTTTCCAGTACTTGGTGCGCGCTGGCGTTGTTGTTGCTGCCGCTTTTTTATTGCTTGATTACGCGTATTCCCCTGCTGCTCAAGTGTGGCCACAGGTATTGAAGTGGAACTCGCATTGAAGAGATCTAACAGTCCAACTAAATGATCCCGAAGCTAAACAGTTACTAAAGCCCCTACGCACAGATAGAGGCAGCATTAACAATCGGCTTGCAACAACATCGCACGGCAAGCTGAAATGAAAGCATTAAAACTATATCTTATCGTGCGTATGTATATACATATATGATATCATGTAAGACGATTTCTTGCATTCCATATACACATATGTATTTGACATTATCATCCCATTATCTGAGCAAAAACATTGATAGCGACCATGACCCAGCCCCAGTTTTTAGTTAAAGTTGTTGGCTGAAACGAGTTAAGTTGATTTCAATGGGAAATATAACAATATTAGCTGCAATAGTCCCAAATTAGTTAATATGTTTTCGACCGCGCCCAGGCAATATGCTTATCAAACATCCTATGCCAATGTTGACTCTAGCCCCATAATATTTTATAAATAAAAACTTATTAGAGCGCTGGAGCCAGGTGACACCTTATCAGCTATCAATCAAACTCTGCACCGCCTGCCTGCAACGCTCCCATTCCCATATTCACTCTCTTAGCCCACACTTGAACGTTGGTGGTTTCAAAGGTTTTCCCCAAATGTGCGACTTTAGTACAGTCACGTAGTCAGTATTCTCTCTCGGTCTCGCTCTCTAGCTCCCAGAAATGCCTCTTTGGAACGCGTGACTTCAATAAAAAATAAATGAACAAAATGTACTCAAAGTATAATCACGAAAATAGAGCAAAAATCAAATATAAACAGAGAACAAGAGCGACAGAGACGGAAAGCGAAACAAAGCGCTATAAAAGGAGAGCAGCGACAGCTAGCGAGAATGCCAACGCTTATCTTATCAGAAAAAAATGTCGCTTTCGTAAATGGTGGCGTATAAAACAAATATTATATGTCCCCGTCCAATTATGTATATATACTGCAACTGGATAAAATAATATTTTTGATATGAACAATTCATCGCCAGCTCAACTTATGGCTTTAATTTTACTAAATTAGAATAAAAGCTTGTTAACGCTTTTTAACGAATTAACCAAAATATAATTAGCATTTAAATATATTTTCTACATAGCAGAAGTAACAGAAGAAAATCGTTTTTATATGTTTTTCTTGTTTAATTGAAAATAATATTTATAAAAGATCTTTTATCTACTACATAAAATAATCTTGTTTTCAAAATATGATATTTTTTTTTACATATTTTTAGCGTTAGAATCTCAAAATTGTTTAAAGATATATAAAAACAATATATACATCAAACAAATGATCTGCTTTCCGTAGTTTTAATAAATAATATCAAATATATTTAGTTTGAAAATTGAAATATCCTGAATTACGATGTGTCTGTGTGCTTATTAGATCATCTGAAATTCCAATTGGCAAGTCAATTCCAAGTGCATTGTCAACATTTTCATACAGCCCAAAGGTATGCAACATATTTTTATTTAATATCTCGTGTGATAACAGAAACCATCTAGTACGTTTACATTCTGTTAGCTCTTTATTGCGCTCTTTATGCACATGGTGGCTGGTCGATAACACAAATTTCGATAAGTTTGTTTTGAAATTGAAATATCTAACACCTTAGCTTGCGTTTGCTTATAAAATATGTATATACAGTATTAGCTGAGTTTTCCCTCTTACGAATAATAATTATATTTAAATTTGTCTTTATATAGAAAAAAAATATTGTTTGTTTACTTGTCGTTTATTTGTTCAAAAATAATAATATTAATATTGCAAAATGAAGTAAAGAGTTAAACGAAACTATAACTTAATTTGGCATATATCGTATGTGTAAAACGTATAAATTATTAACTAAAATTGCATGAGATTATCATTTATATTTTTGATATATTTTCATTATTGCTGATGCATAAAATTAACTTAAAGACTATGTGGAATTTGATGATAAGAAATCTCAAGAGTTATTCATATTCATAATCGAGAATAGTATTGGGGGTATATAATAACAAAAATCCAACAACAATTCAGGTTTATGCTGCTGGCGACATTTCGCTAAAAAAAAATTAAACTAAATTTTACAATAACAGAACTCGAGTAGTTTGGAGCATTTCCATAGCTTGGGGAAATGTCGCATCGATTTGCTTAAATTATATACAAAACTTGTGTGTGTGTGCGTTCTGTGTCAGTGTTGTGCTGTTGGTTGCAAATTCTTAGAGAACTTTTGGTATACGCAATTCGAATGCCTAGCCTAAAAATGGATTTCAGTTTCTTTGGGAGCTGTGAGATGTGTGTATAACAAGAATATCTTTGGTCAGGTCTAATAGGAATCGGCTGGCATTATTCCATCTTAACAATTGTCTCGCGCTCAACGCCATATTTACGACCAAATTCATGGAGTTGCTGTTGTGCGGCTGCGTGCAGTGCATAGCTGGCAATCTGTTGCTCGTGCTGGCTAAGTGCAACATGTTGCTGCTGTGCGTGCTGCTGTTGCTGCTGTTGCTGCTGCTGTTGCTGTTGCTGTTGCTGCTGCTGCTGACGATGATATGCGGCCAATTCATAATGCTCATCGATGGACGTTGAACGGCTGAGCAACATATCATCGTGTTGCTGCCGCTGCTGTTGTTGATGTTGCTGCTGTTGCTGTTGCTGTTGCTGTTGCTGGTGGTGATCCAACTGCTCCAGTTTTATGATAGTCGGTTGCTCCTCCTCGGCTATGTGACCTATATAGTAGGGCGACGTGGTACGACCACTCAGTGCCGACTTACACAAGGGCATCTCCGTCTGACCAAGCGCCTGCTGTTGATAGGGATTTTGGAGGCTGATAATGTTGCTGCTGCTGTTGCTCAGAGAGGATAGTGCGTTCGATGCCGTGGTCTGTGTTGTTGTTGTTGTGGCAGCCAATTGCTTGCTGCTGGTGGTGGTGTTGGTGGTGCTGTTGGTGACCGCCTCCGATTTGATCGCTGTGCTGATTGCCGCCGCCGCCGCCGTTGCTGCTGCTACAGCTGCTGCTGCCGCCGTAATGGAGTTCGGCATCAGGTGCATAAGTTGCTGATGTGCCAACAATTGATGATCGCTGCTGCTGTTGCTCAATTGTTGAGCTTGCAGATATTTCTGAATAATTTGTTTGTTATTTTCATTGCTGCTATTAATGCTGTTATTGTTATGATTAAATAATGAGTTGTTATTGTTGTGGCTGTTGCTGTTGTTGTTGTTGTTGTTGCTGCTGTTGCTACTATTATGAAGCTGTGTTGGCGATGGCGTGGAGTAAATGGACTGAGACATGGCTGATGTAGGCGTGCTAGGTGAATGCTGCATGCTGCATGATTGCTGCTGTTGCTGCATATTAATGGGCGACATTTGATAGGATGATGTGGGCGACATGTCCAGCCCAGAGCATAGCTGCTGCTGCTGCTGCTGTTGCTGCTGCTGCTGCTGTTGTTGTTGATGTTGGGATGCAGCATTAGGTGATAATGAGGAGGATGCCATGCTTTGCGGCGAGCTGGCCGCAGATGAATGTAGCTCAGTGTTTAGTTGTTGCTGCTGTTGTAGCTGTTGCTGCGATGCGTATGACATATAAGCAATTGATTTCATTTCTAATGAGTTCACCGAGAGAGGGGAGAGAGAGAGAAAGCAGACATCACAAATTAGGCATGCGTGTAAGACACAGTGAAAGAGAGATCGATAGACAGCGAACGCGCAGGCGAGAGAAAATGCATATTAAAGATCTCAACCCACCTCCATCAGTGACATCCATTTGCTGCTGCCCATGCGCCTCCAGCTGCATGCTTACGTTGTGACAGGCATTGGCATTGCTAGCCACCAATCCAGCTGCCTGCGAGGCTCTCATCTTCTTTGACTTTTCGCTTTTAGTACCCTTCGGCTTGCGCTTGCGTTTCTATTGACGGGATGAAGTAGGACACGAGATTAGTTTTCGGCTTTTCTGTCGAGATCCAATAACAACAACTCACCTGTATGGTGTCCTTCTTCATGGTCAACGGACGGACCACGCTGTGCAACTTGAAGTAAAGGCCGCAGGCATTGCAGACGGGCTCGCCGCCAGGATTACGGCGCCATAGCGATGTGTAGCTCGTCTGGCAATTGGAGCAGGACATGCCAGCTCTTCGGGAGGCGCTCTGTGAAAGTTTTTGGAAAAACATCAGCCGGTTAGTGATTGTGTGTGCGTGTGCCTGTGTGTGTGTGTGTGTTTAATGAGTTGTTGGGGGTGTGGAACTTTTATTGCTTTTGATGTGGAACAATATTTTTTTTTTAATAAAAGGATTTTTTTCTCAACCAACTAAATAAACCAAACTATAAAAATAAAACCAAAAAGTAAAAAAAAGGGCAAAATTGGTAATTTTTAATGTAAACTAAGATATTCGTTTGTAAGTGTAAATAATTCAAGCATTATAAAAAGTTAGCAGAGACTATGACAAATTATAACAACAATGAATCAATATCTGAGTTATTTGTGTATTATTTATTATTATTAAAAAATATACACATATTTGTTATCTATCCATATGTGTATTATATTATATCTATATTCAGCATGCTACAAATTTTTGGCTAAGAATTACTGTTAGTCTTGGCAGGGTAGGGAACTATTGTACTCTCTGTGGATTGTCAGTTATTTGATTGGAAGTATTTGCAATTTGACATGTTAGTTGCAGGTTTTAGTTGATTGGCTTGGTTTGGTTTTGTTTGGTTTGTTTTGGTTTGGTTGGTTTGATTTGGTTGGGTTTGACTATTCATAATTAATGGACGACCTACCAAGCGTCTCGAATTAGCGCGACTAACTTGCTCGTCGAGCGCCGTTGAAGTCACTGAGGACGTCGTCGCCGACGTTGAGCCTGCGCTAGCGCCGACGCCAGCGCCGACGCCGGCAGCGCTGTTGGCATTTGTTGAGCTTTTACTGCGGCTACCGGCGGTCACATTAAATGGGAAGGTCTTATAGAAATCCCCGCCTGATTCAGCGGCCACTGTAATAAGGCAATTAGAATTTGTTTGTAATGAAGAAAAGCGTTTGTTGTTGTAAGTTTTAGTTTTTTTTTTGTTTTTTTTTTTTTAATATTTGTTGATTTTGTTTCAGTCGTACAAAACTAATTTGCGCTTGACTAATATAATAAATTCAATTAATTTTCTCTTTATGCATTTCTTAGTTCCATTTCTTTAATTTATGCTTTCGGATTTTGTTCAATGATAGAAGCGAGAACTGCAGTCTGGCTGGCGGATTTCTATAAGTTCTTAGAGCCCATTATTTAAAAGCTCTCGTTGGTATTAAAAATTTTGTTCCACACAAAAGCAAAAAATCAGTTTGTTGTAGTTGTTGTTTGAGTTAGTAATACTTGTAATTGATTTTGTTGTTGTTGTATGTAGTAGTTGTAGTTGCTGTTGTTGACATTTACCAATCTTCTAGGCTGTTTAATTAACGGCCGATTCATGCCGTTCATTTTATGATACAGGCCGCACGCATTGCATAAATAGTGTCCCGTGTTATCGCGGCGCCACAATGGGGTCGAAATCGCACCACAATTCACACATTCTCGCCCCTCAGTGAAAAAATCGGCATCGAGCAATGCTTTGGAAATTTAAGTATAGAAAAATCGAAAATTTGTATTGAAAGTGTTTTTTTTTTTTTTGTATTTCTTTTCATGTTGTTTTTGTTGTAGTTGTAAATATGTGTGGGTGTGTGAGAAACGCTTTGAATTGCATTTTATTGTTTTTATACAAAAAATTAGTATTTATGATTATATTTGATTTATACTGTTGTTGTTTATTTTTGTGTTGTATTTAATTTGTTGTTGTTCAAGAGTTGATAAAAATTAATTGAATTTATTATACGTTATACTTAGCAATAGAAATGTATGTGATAAAAAAAAACTTAAATAAAGTAAAGTAAAATTTATAAACTAAAGAAATCCCTGTTTTTTTCTAACCAAGCAAAAAACTGTTACCGATCTATTGATACATGTAAATTTATTTATTCTTTTTAAAATTGATATGTTCTTTAAATATTTATATATCTGTATTTTGTCTCTAAATAATCAATAAAAATTATTTTTAAAATTTCGCCTATTTTATTATTTTTTATTTTTTTTAATATCACTTTATTGAAAGTTAAAAACAAGTACTGTTCGTTATTTTTAACCTAATTCATTTTTTTTTCGTCATTTCTCTATAAATATAAATGTATTTGAAAATTAAATCGATGTAGTTTTAATAACTTTAAATAATAAGACAAAAAAAAAACCAAATATATATACATATATATTTTGAAATATCTACTGGCTGAAAGAGTGTTGAGTATTTCGCCCAAAAGATGAACAGTTGGCAACAAATTTCTTTGCCCGAATTGGATTTACACAGGCTACGCAAATATCTGACCTATATATATGCATGCACATATATATTTACATATCTGTGTAGCTTGTAAGCAACTGTTTGAGTGTGAAATTCTACCTAAGGCTAGACGGCTGACAAATATGTGGTATATTAGGATTGCTTGGCATACAGATGTCTATGTCTATAGCTATTTGTGGAGGTCTGACTTACTTGCTGTTAGCGATGCCGAGGCGGACAGATGAGTGGCATTGGCTAGGAAGCGCGCAGGATCAACAGCGCTGGCAGCACCATCGACAGCGGCTGCTGCTGCCGCCGCGGCAGAAACGGCGCGTCCGTTGCGTATCACATTGGTCACCGCTGCACCACCCAGCTGGCCCTGGCCGGCGGTTGTGGGCGCGTAGCTAATTGGTTCGTAATGACCACTCCAGGCATCGCCCTGCATCAGCGAAAGAGAGCAAAGTAGGGAGTATTAAACAAATGTTGGAGCAGCCGTCTTCAGGCTAGCCACTTACGTGTGTGCGATAATTGCCTAGCGATGCGTATCCAGCCCGTTCGGCCCCACTGCCAGAGCCATTGGCCACGCCGTTGCCATAGCCCGCACCACCGCTGGCCGGCGCAATGCGCTGAAAGGCGGGCAAAGTACCACCGCCGCCGTTGCCATTGCCGCTGTGGCTACTCTTGGGCGAGCCGTAGCCATCGTCCAGCAGCGTGGAGTTGCCAGTGTGGTGCAGACCCACTGGACCAGGACTGTTGCTCGATGAGTTGTGATGTTGATGATGTTGTTGCTGTTGTTGTTGCTGCTGCTGCTGCTGCTGCTGATGTTGCTGATGCTGCTGTTGCTGGTGTTGGTGATGTTGTTGCTGCAGCTGGGCGTGTGTGTGAGTGGGCGAGGAAATTGTTTGCATGCCATACTGCATGCCATTGGCGGCCGAAGCGAGTAATGGACTTGCATAGACAGAGCTGTAATAAGATGTATACATATATAATAAACAACAAATAAATAAATAAATAATATATAAAAATACAAAACAATTGAATTAATGCATATTATTTTGATTTTACCTATAGCAGTAGTTCTTTAAATACATATTATTGTAGTTGGAGAAAAACATTTTGCGACAGATTAAATTAATTTTCGTTTTTAGATTTAAAAAGAAATGTTTCGTACAGCGCGATTAAAAGCGCACTGTTTGCATTTGCGCGCGTTTCGCGGGCGATTTTAACAGCTGGCGATCTTTAAGTTGCTGTTAATGCTAAGTTAACTGCTGGCTAGTACTGTTAAGGCGCGGCTTGTGTAAAATGAAACTGTTAATAACATTCCTTTGCATTGTTTAAATAACAGAATACTGTTGTTGCTGCTGTTGCTAGACCACCGGAGTTAACTTTTTGCATGTTTATAAGGAGTTGTGTGTGTGTGTGCGGGTGGACCCATAAAAGTTTTAATTAAAAATAAAAGAGTTTCAGCTTTTGTTTATGCAACTCAAATTCCCTACGACACTCTGCCCCAACGGTAGCCTGTGCAAATATTTTCGCTGCACTTGGCCGCTTGTGTCGCCTTAATTTTTTATTTTTTTATTTTTAGGGTTTGTTGTGGCATAAACAAAGCAGTGTGGCAGGCAAAACTGCGAACTGGACAAATGCGTTTCGGGCCTGACTTGCAAGTCTCTGTGCCAGATCGGAAGTTCTTGTAGCAGAAGCGTGGCAGCAACACAAAATAGCCGAAGCTGAAAATCGTAAACGAGAAGGCAATCCTTTACACACGCACACACACAAGCAATTACATAAATTTTATGTTTGGTGATTTGTTGTCTTCAAACATAAAAATGAATGAAAATCAATCAATAATAGTATTGTCTATTGTCTTTTACGGCCCTTTGAACTGAGAAATCAAATACTATAATTATTATTATTATTTCGATTTGTATCAACAGGAAAACTTTTTTAAGACACATAATCACACACATGTTTTAATTTATTTTTTATTTTTTGAAAATTTTGCAAAGCCAAAATACACTCAACTGGTCAGACGATACAACAACCGAAACGGGGCACGCGCGTTTGCATAATGAATTGAGTCGGGTTTAGTTTTATGCCAGTTGCTGTTGACGCTTTTTTCCGCTCTGCCAGCGTCGCTGCCAAGCACTATTATTATTGTAATTGTTGTTGTTCTTGTTGCTGCTTAAACCAACAAGTAGTCAGTGAAAAATATCTAAACGAAATACGCTTTGGTAACACATGCCGCTGACTTATATTATACAGCGTTATTTCATATACTATATAAACTGTTTGTAAAATTACAATTCTAACTGTAAATACAATTTCATAAGGATACGCATGCAAAGTTTAAAAAGGCTAAGTTGCTTTTGAAGGTGGTCCCTAATAATATATTTTCCTAAATTATCTTTAATTCCCTGGTTTCCTTTGATAAATTATTGAATACCTTTATTGAATAGTTTGTTAGAGTTTTAATGTATATGTTGTTTTAAGCATTTACGTCTATATTATTAAACATGTTATTATTAGATCACTAAAGAAAGTAAGCCCGGATACTACTACCCAAGCCCTACATTCAAAATTGTTCTTATATAAGCCTATTTAAGAACTAAGTATCGTCAAAATAGTACAGAATATTATTAGAATTAAATTCAATTATAGCCAAAGCTGCGACTCTATTCTATTAGCTTTAATATCATATCATAATAATATCATGTCACCTATATACAAAAGCTTATAATTATATTTAGCCCATGTTGTATTACTTAATGGTATAGAATCTTGGCATTTCTTCCAATATTGGCTACATGCTGTAATTTTAAATCAAAGTCAGTTTGGTTCAAAGCCATTTAAAGCTAGATACACACGCGCACTGATAGCGACAACAATAACAAATATTATAATATAATACAATATTGAAAAGCATGACAAATCTTTAAATATAACAATTATAATTGCCCATATACCGCTATATATATGTGTGTACATGTATGTAAGCATATATGAGAAGCTTGAGATGTCGCACGCTGTTTGGAAACGTTCTCTGTACATAGGAAGTGCCAAGACAATAAAAATGCACGATATTATTTTATCAGTGTTCAGTTAAATGTTGCTGCATATATCTATATATATTATATATATGTGTGTGTATATATGTTCTTGTGGTGGCTGTTTGTTGCAGGTGAGTATTTTGCGCAGACTTCTTGTTTTCCATGTGGAATATGTGAGCTAGCCACCGTATCTCGTATCTTCTTCTGGTTTCTGCCGCAACAAATTGACCAAAAGTCACATACGTGCGCTCGTCACCCAGCTCTACTCCGTCCGGTCTTTCCCGCCAGCCCAAAACGTCAAGAATTAAGAGATTGAGAACTCAGGCTAAATATATTTGAAGATTTAGCACCGCAATACAGAACCTAATAGAATGGGCTAATGTGGGGTACATGCTGAGATCTCTCTATCTGAGAGAGAGAGAGAGGGAGTGGAAATACACAAAACAACAAGCAGCTATATAAGCGAAATTTATAAAGGTTTATTATTCTATAGTAAACCAAATTTAAAAACACGAAAATGACCAGGCATAGGAGAACATTTTTCAATTTAACAAATAATATTAATAATGTATTTTCTTTTCGGTCTTTGAAAATTGGACAAAATATAATTCAATAAGAAATAAAATATAATGACAGAACTACTCCTGATACTATTTTAAAAAAATATTATAATCTTATGAAAGACTTCAACTTAAATGATATTTGTTTGTGTTCTCTCTTTGTTTGTGTTAAGCTACCTTAAACAAAATTCTACTTAGCTCCCTAATAATAAGTGATTCTTGACAAAGCTTTTAAGTCTAAACAGGGCTTCAGTCTAGAAACTAGAAATAGCCAATTTTGTTGTAAATAGAGCCTTCATTTGGAAGCATAAACCTGGCTCTATTGACAATTTGTGTACAATTTGACATGTATACGGGCACTAAGTAGAAGGTACCTTACATAGAGTAATATAGTATATATACAATATTATATGTATACAGTATTGCCATGTACAATTTGTTATGGCTAGTTTCGTGTAATTGTGTGTATGCAAAACACGTTTTCCAATTAAAACTTTGCAAAGAGAAATGCTAAAGTGCAAAAATATTGAGAAACACAAAACAAAGTTAATCGGGCGAGCGCATTGTGCGGGTCTAGGGAGTTTCTTTTTAAGCTCCGCCGAATATTAGAGGCTCGCCGGCAGGGTTGCTGCCGTAGCGGAGTGGGGCACACTATGCTGACTCAGTGGCTGCCGCGTCTACGACTACCCTACGAAGTCGAGCCAAGTGTGTTTTTGTGTGTTTTGAAGCTGTGTCATTTACAGTTTTCTATGTCAGAAGGCGGCTTTGAATTACGCCGTCCAAGTCCAAGTCGCAAGTCTCAGAGCCACATAGAGGTGCTACACATTGGGTATCCTCCTCTCTGTCGCTCTCTCTTTCTCTCTCATTGTAGCACACACACACACATGCACACGCAGACTTAGACAGTTTGCAACCGAATATGCAGAGCAAGTTGAAAATGAAAAATGCGCTTTCATTGCATATTTGTTGCATTTGTTGAGTGCAGGTTTTTAGTCAAACGCTTGTTTGTTGTTGCCACCTAATGCGGGTCATGCCCCCTTTGGCATATGCCACACTCGGTAAGTGTGTGGCACGTGCGCACACGTGTTGCACCTAACCAGCATGACTCCAAGCTCTTCTTTTTTTTATTTGTGGGCCACATTCTGTGGGCCTCAGTTAGTCAACCTAGACAAAAGTCCAACATGTGTGTGACACCCCCAAATCATGATTCAATCGATAGACACAGATGCATGACGCGTAAGGGAGACAAAGATGGGTGTATGTATGTGAGTGTGCAACTCGGGGGCAGGCTCATGAGTCAGCAATACGGCTCAAACGCTGCCCCAACGTCCGTAATAACCGCAATTAACACACTGCATGATATTTTTGGTTTTGTTTATGAAATTGGAGCGAACGTTTACAATATTTTGCTTGCCTTTGGATTTTGTTGTTTCGCTTCTTTTTTTTCATTTTTGAAGGAAGCTCTGAATGACTGAAAGGCGCGTCTCTAAAAATCCACAATGTGAAATTGTAAACGGATTTGTATAAAAATACGTGCAAATAAAAAGTTTTGCTCGGACTTTGTTTATTTTGATCGTGCTGAAGGTACTTCAGAAAGACAAATCCCAAAGTACTCAAAAGTTGGCAATGAAATTAATCAATTTCGGATGAACGTATTAACTAATTAACTAAGAATAAACTCAAATCAATTGAAAACCAAGATTAAATATAATTCTGAGTATCATTGAATATTTTTGAAATGAATAAATAACAATATTTCAAGTTGGATTTAAAATATTATTAAGAGCCTTATCAAAACGCATCAGAATAATAATAGTCTATAATAACCTGCGTCAGCTGATTTTATAAAAGTCGACCTTTGGGTGTGAATAATCTTGGCAATGAAGGAAAAATTTAATTTTTTGCTTGAGCCTAAAACAAATAAACAAATTTATTTTCTGAAGCCAAATATTTTTACTTATATATTAATACATATACCTTTTGATAGATACAACTTAATAGCTTTAACCTGCCCTAACTAACTGTTTATATGTATGTAAATATAAGTATGTCTGGGCTTCGGGTTGGTTCAAGAGTTCTGCGTAGCAATGCGAAAATATGCATGAAAAAAAAAAAAAAAAAAAAAAAAAACGAAAAACAACTGTAGAAAAACAAATGTAGAAAAACATTCCAAAGTCAGTTAAAGCAGGCGGCTGGGTGTGAGACGCCCCACAGTAAGATGCAACACGGAACAGATTTTTCGCCGGCCCAACGGAATGCACATTTCTTTATACATACTATACATGACTCTCTATATACATACATATTAATAAATATAATAAATATATGTTATATATTGAGTTGTATACATAGAATGCAAACCACCTGAGAATGCCATAAGCGAATGTATTAGAAGTCGTCTCTAGCTATAGCTATATATAGATATATTGATATATATGTATATACATATAAACATATATATATTGGTAGAAGTGGAAGGGGATCTGGCGTGAAGTCTATGGGCAGGCAGGCAAACAACAAGTGCAACAATTGTGACATTTGTGCTTTTGTTATTATTACCTATGACGAGTATAAAGAAACGTAACACAAAATCAAAGTCAGAATAGCAAAAAAACGAAAAAAAAAAAAAAAACAACATGAATCAGAAGCCGATGACAACAACAACAATAACAACAATCATTGTTGATCATGACTTTTGGCTGTGCGAGTCGTCGATGCGACGCTGCGTTTTTCGCCGAAAGGCACGTGCGAGGCGGCAGCGAATAATGAGCTCACTTTGGGGCATTGCGGGAGTGAAAGAGAGAGAGAGAGAGGGGGAGACACGGGGAGTTGGGGTTAACATTGATTGGGACTCACCTGCTTTGCAGCACCGGGCTGAGCTGTGTGGTAAAGTAGTTGCCGTGCTCCGGCGAGAGGCTGCCGTAGCTATCGCGATGCAGTCCGCTGCTGGGCTGCGCGCTCGTTAGTTGTGTGAAGCTTTGCAGCGTTGCCACATCGCTGGCATGTGTGGCGAGCGTGTGGGAGGGCGACGGCGAATCGCCACCCACCGAACTGGCCGAATTGTTGTGATGATGATGCTGATGATGCTGCTGCTGGTGCAGATGCTGGTGTTGCTGATGCAGATGTTGCTGTTGCATCAACTGGTCGTGCGTCATAGAGTAAAGATTTGGATTGCCCTCCTTGAGAACGTGAATATCGGAGACAGCGGTCAGCATGTGGTAGCTGGAGCTGTGATTATCATCGAAGCACTCGTCCTTCAGCGTATCCTGTATAACTTCGTCAATATTTGGCGTTGTGTGTGTTGTGTGCGCGATTACCGAATTGGCGGCTGCTGCTGCCACCGCAGCAACGTGTTGCTGCAGCTGATGTTGCTCGTGTGTGGTGGGACTGCCAACGCCACCGCCACCACCACCACCTCCGCCGCCGCCATAAGCGCTGTAAAGCGTAAAATTGTTGCGCATTATGGAATCCGTGCTGTTGCTGCTGTTGCTAATGTGATGTTGCTGCTGCTGCAGCTGCTGCTCGTACAAATGTGTATGATGATAGGGTAGATGTGCGAGCAATTGCTGTGAGGCCGCCAATGCATAAAACTCGCTTTTATCCTGTTGTGTTGCTGCTGCCGCCGCCGCTGCTGCTGCCGCTGCTGTTGCACTGTTGCTAGTTAAGTCGTAGGCACAATTGTTGTACGCTAACCAATTGGCGTGTTGCAGCTGTTGCTCCTGTTGCTGCTGGTGGTGTTGCTGTTGGGTTAGCAATTGCTGTTGCAGAAACTGTTGCTGCTCGTAGATTTGCTGTTGCTCTGCTTGCTGTTGTTGCTGTTGCTGTTGCTGCTGCTGCTGTTGTTGCTGATGAGCATAGTTGGCTATGATCACCGAGTTGTTTAGGCCGCGATAATGTAGCGGCAATTCGGCAGTTGTTGCTGTTGTCAATGTTGCTGTTGCAGTTTGTTCTTGCTCATTTGATTCACTTTTGATTTTGTTGTCAACACTTTCACTTGCGTCGCTTTGCTGATTACTATTTATCACTACTACCGGCAAAATTTCAGCGTTTGTTGTTGCTGCGTTTTCATCACTTATCTCACTTTTGCACTTATCAACAATTTTGTAATATTTATCGCTTGTTGTTATTGTTATTGCTGCTGCTGTTGATGATGTGTCTAGCTTCGTTTCGCTTTCGGTCTTAGGCTCGACTTTATCTTGATTGCAATTAGCTGTTTCGCCTGCAACAACTTTAGTATTTGTGACGTCACAATTGCTGGCGTGCTGCTGCTGTTGTTGTTGTTGCTGTTGCTGTTGCCTTACGCTGTTCTCATCATAAACTAAAATATTTGCGATTGTTGTTGTTACGGCTGCTGTAGCTGTTGCTGTTGCTGTTGTTGCGGTAGTAACCGTTTGCTTCGCTGTTTCGCTGGCAACTGATGTGTGAGCCTTCGACTCAAATGTCGACGATAAATTCGCTGTGGCAAGCGGCGACAACGGCGACGTCGACGTCGCTGCTTGCTGCTGTTGTTGTTGTTGTTGTTGTTGACGCTGCTGCTGCTGCTTGTGCGCTTCGCCGCTGTCGCCGTTCTCCTGCGCCGATATTGTCGTCTCTTTCATAGCGACCGCCTGTTGCGCTTGGCCGTATGCTATGGCTGTAGTTGTGGTCGTGGCTGTGCCCGTGCCTGTGGCTGTGGCTGTGGCTGCTGCAGTATTTGATCCTGTTGCCTGGTCGCCCCCTGAGCCCTTTTGCACAGATTGCTTCTTGGCATTTGACAGCGCTTTGGTGATCTTCATTTTGGCAGCACTCGCCAACAAATTGCTGGGCACTCTAGGCAACGCACTGTTCTTGTCCTTCTCCTTGGACTTGCTAGTCTTTGTCATGATAGCCAACGTCCACAATACACACAGGAGAGTGTAAGCAGCGCAAGCTAAGCCAAGCCTTGTTCAGTTTGTAGAAACTTTGCCTGGAAAGCGCACTCGCCAAGAAGTTTTCAATGATCCGCGCTGATAAACGTACGTGTCCGTGTCCGGCGCGTTTTTCATACAAACTGAGCTCGACACACGCTTAATTTCGAACGAACAAAAATCATACAAAAAGTGTTTTTAAAACGACACTACACAAATTCAAATACATAAATACATACAAATATATATATATATAAATACGTATAGATGTATATATACATTCATATAAAGTATGTAGATGGAATAAGCACAAAAGCAAATCCCAAACTCTCTCGCCTTTGGGGTGCTCTCCTCACACTTGTTTTTGCCTCCATTCATACAATTACATTTTGTGCTTTGCACTTTGCCTTTGCTCTACATGCCGTTATATTATAATCATAATCATTATGCATGTTTCTGTTTCTGTGTACAGCCTCTAATGCCTGCGCCCGACAGCAACAACAACAACAACAACACCAGCAGCAGCAGCTACAGCTACACCAGCTACGCCAGCTACAATAATTACGAACTACACTTGGCGCTCACTTTGACACTCTCACTGGCTCGCTCTCTCCAACTCTCTCGCGCTCTTTGCTCAAAGTTTTTGTTCGCGCGCTCTTCGAAGTTCGAACATCGTTATTGTTGTTGGGTCGGCTGCAATAATGATGCCTGCCTGCTGACAACCGACCTTATCGCACATTCGTCCATACCGTAGGCTGCTTTTCATTTGTTTCAGCTGTCTTTCTCTCTCTTTCTCTCGCTCGACCAGCAGCAGTTTTAAGCAACGCCTCTCAAACGCAACACAACGCACGAGGGAGGCAGACCAAAGCCGGGCCTGCTGCTAAAGCAAATTTGTTATTGTGCTGTTTAAGTGTGGTTCTTTTGTTGTTGTTGCTTTTAATGCCGTTGTTGTGGTTGGCTGTTGCTAGCGTACATACATATGCATATAAATACATATGGACATAAATATGTACTTATATATATGTACATATGTATATGCATGTAGAATACTATATACATGGACATATGCAGTGCATTTGTACCATTCGATTTGTATAAGTTAAGTAAGCATTTAAAAGAAAACAAAATTCTAAAAGAGATTTTGGAGAGATTTATGGGCTCGCTAGCTGTAATTACCTACGTATCAAAGTACCTAAGCTTGGTTAATAAACTTGTTCCATATATAAATTTTAGCAGTCATTTATTCATAATAGTTAAAATAACTCAATAACATTTTATAGAAGAAATAACATATGAAGGAGTTTTGTTTTTACATCCATAATCATAATAATTCCAATTGAACTGTCATAACAAGTACACATCATACACACAAATTCCAGAAAGAGGAATAAATAAGGCTTATTTTTACATATAATAACATTTAATAATTATTTACACAATATTTTGTCTTAAATACGACTCCACTAACTGATATATGGCTTGGCATAATAATTATTTAATTGGCATAATAATTATTTACACAATATTTTGTCTTAAATACAACTCCACTAACTGATATATCGCTTGGCATAATAACTTTGCAGATAGTAGAGAGATGAGCCAGATTGATCAGACTCATTCGATCCCAATATTATAAATTATTCTAAAATGATTAGCTATGCTCAAAAAATTATTATATTATTAAAATTATATTCTTAAGATATTATAGATAGAGTGCTCAAAATCGAATACTTAGACAAAATTGAAATCTTTAGCATATTGCCATTAATTTCGATCTGGATAATAACCACGAAACGTTTCATGGCAACGTCCTCAAATTGTGCGTAAAATTGTAATTTGTATAACAAGGGCGAGAATTCAAAATGAAAATTTTGTAAAAATTTAAACAACATGCGTATATAGACTATTTTCCATACCCAACCAGGACAGAAACATAAAATCGAGTAACGTACGAGACGCGTGTTGAATTTCATAGGATATGCTACAAGAGGGGCTGGAGCCGGCGCGAAAGGCGCCGTGAGAAAATTAAGAAAACATTGAAAGAAAAGTGAAAACTGAAGAAAAGCCTACATTGCACTTGTGTAGGACTCTTTTGCCAATTCCCCAGACGACGCGCCAAAATATTGTCGAAAACTCATAAAACCTACTATGGATGACGGCAATGCGTCTATGTACTTGAGCCCATTCCTAATGGCTGATTAAAATATTGTTATATTTGAACCAGGACGGCCAGGAGAGTCGTAAAAGATCTCCGAATTTTTAATGACATTTTTATCGTTATTTGAATAGGCGGCACCAACGATCTGTTTGGACATTTCGACAACATTTTTACGAGGCTCAACTAAAAAGTAGGCGACTTCTCAAGTGGGTCGTCGGCTGTCTCTGATTTCAGTTAACCTCTGTGGCAATTTTAAAATCATACTTATACATGAATAAAAATGAAAAAAGTGAAATATTTCAGACTGATAACAGATGAGACTGATCGCTAGGCTCCCACTAGGGTCTGAAACACATGCCACAGGCCGACGTCCGATTCTTGTTTACACTCAGTTCTCTGAACGCTACCAATTACAATAAGTATATACTCTTTATATACACATAAATATTAAAATGTATACGTAAACATAACTCATGTCCATTATTTAAATATATGTATATATGTAAATATATTTTCGTTCTGCCTCATTAACAAATTTTCAATTTTTTTATAAGTCACATTTGCGCGGACTTTTTTCATTTTCAATATTCAGCTCGCTGTGTTGCATGTGTATGTGATTTATATGGAACTTTAACCTTAACCTTGCCTAGACGTCACATTTTTTAACACGCGTTTCAAGCATGTCCAGGCTCAAATTTAAATTAACTGGAACAGTCTAAAATTTTTCTTCTGAAAATCATTTTTAATTATATTAAGCATTAATTCTATAAAAAAAAATTAAAAAACCTTATATATTAATAATTGTGTATTAAACAAGCATTTTTTAATTCACTGATCTTCAGTTCTGTCTCTTTCAGCTGTACAATAACGCATAAACTTTACCCACATGTTGCACTGGAAGCTCTCACATTTGACAAGAACTTTTGACCCCCTTTGGTGTATGCCAAACTGACAAACGTCATGCTTTGTTTCTTCTGATAACGTGTGGTAAGCCTTATAAACTAAATGCATTGAGTACAAATGCTAATAACGGTAAATGACCTTAAAAAGAACTAGAGCCATGTAAACTGTAACCACAACAGCTCAAGCAACAAGTCAGGGTTAAAGATATTTACTACTACTATATGTATGTATGTATCTAAATTTTAAACTATGTAAATTGTGACTGGCTCGAGAGGAGGTGCGTGTCAACAAACAAATCTGTGATCAGAGTGGTTTCCAAGTTTCCATAAATCATCAATGAGCCATGGAAAATGTCAGGCAGCACAAGTGCGAGATGCTAATGATGTGATTTATTACAGATCTGCGAGCTGTATCCCTAAAGGATAATACTATTTGCTCTCTACGTGTGTGTGTGTGTGTGTTTTAGGTGCTGCGTTTCACACTTGAATTGAAACTGGTAATGGGCCGCATCGTGGAGCAGTTCATCTTTAAAATATCAAATACCCCAAATATACTGGAAAAACAATAAAATTGTGAAACAAACTTGATAGAAAGATACAAGTATCAAATACCCTTTCAGAGCAACAACTTAAATACAAATTAAAAAGTTACCGTAAAATCAAAATTTTTATACAGATTTTTTCATTATAGATATATTTAAATTAAATAAGACCATCGAATAGTAAAAATGATTTTTAAAAAATATTTGTATGTTTATATTAATTCAATATGTAGAAAATTAGATATGTGACAATAATAAAAGAAGAATTTTTTTAGCTGCTGCAATTATAGTGAATCCCATAAATGAACATATAAGCGTTACATATTTTGTGAACAAAAGTGTAATACCTTCAGCAAGGGTATATCAGCTTGGAAATACAAATATAATGAGTTTTTTATAACCACAGCATATAAAACCTCTATAAGGTTCAAATTAAGCCAGCAATATACATTTTTGTAGTTCGTATGTGTTTGTGTATCCCACGAGACTCTGTAAATATTCTGAAAGAGAATATCCACATATATGTATATTTATGTATGTGTGGCGCACACTTAAGCCCTTGGCTTAACATTATTTTGACATATTTATGGTGCCCAAAAATGGGTTTGCCTGGAGCACTAACAAGTGCCAACTAGACAGACTCAGCCAGCAACAAAAAGGAAAGTATCTCACATATCATCGCCGCTGATGTATTTATGCATTTTTAATATTTCGGGCATAGGCAACATTCATGGAGTCTCCTCATAAATATTATCCTAGCGTGCCCTGGTAATCGAATATCCCATTTCGCACTTGAGCCGTGGCAACTGCTTAGATCCGCGCCCATTATCAGCATCGTTATCTGGTAGGAATATAATGGCCATTAACTCTACTGGTATATGCCCTTTGATAATATCAATTAAAGCGTTCTCAGTCAAGTGGCCTGCGGTGTAGCTGCTGTGAGTGCACAATTGATCTTTTATCTGGTCCATTTTATGACCCGCAAGAAATGTCCTTAACACGCTTTTTAATTGTAGCGCTTCTTTGCGGCTTGCCTTTAGTTCTGATAAGAATACCCTTTGAAGAGCTGAAGATATCTGAATGATGTTTGTGTTGTTCTCTTCACGCTATAATAATATGAACATAAATTAATAATAATATATCATATAATATACTTCTAATTCTATTTTCCCATCAAAAATAACATAACATACTTCTCTAAGGATGTTTCTATGCTATTTCCATTTCTGGTTCCCATATGGTTGTCAAGCATTTGAATAAATATTGTGAGCCAACTAAGAAAGCAAATTTTAACAAATTACCCCATCTATTTGGCTAATTTATAAGACAAACAACGAAATCCAGGTCTCTGCGCTGATCACTAATAAATACAAATAAACACTCTGAGACTTTATGCAATATTACTTAGTTTGACAGTCAACACACATATTTAATGCACATTTCGCCTCTGAGGAGTTTTTCCCACAGTCTAAGTAAACAGCACTTGAACCTATTTAAATAGACGTCATACTAAAAACTGTCGAAAAGCCACGATCAAACCGACTGATCAGCGCTAATCGAGCGGCCATTGTCATGGGTCAAGGTAGGACCAGGTAGACAAGCCGTGTCTCAGGTAGACAACCGACAATTTGTCGAACGATAAACAAACGAAAATGGAAACACGCGCCGACAGGATCAAAATTGATCGTGACAAGAAAAGGACGACATTGCCAAGATCGTCGTCCAATTGTTGTTTGTTATGCGTGTGCTATGGATGGCCAACAGATCTAGGTACCTAATATACCATATAGAAGGATTTTCTGCGCTTCTGCCAGCCAAAGCAAATAAACAAAATGGTCATAAATTTTCTTTGGCTCACAGCGTCAAACACAATTGCTGCTCCTATGTTAGGTTATATAATTTTGAAAACATATTTTCTTTCGTTGTCCCTGTCCCTGGCGCTGGCGCTGTCTAATTAGGGCGTCTACATAACCATGTATTTTGTTTATAAAATGATTTTGTAATACTCTTTTCAATGTGAATAAATAATAAATGTAATATGGAAGCTAAGAAGAAGAATTTAATTTATATAAATTTAATTTAAAACAATTTTGTTGTGGGGTGTAAACTTTACTGAAAGTGTTACGATCTATTTCGCATATTCGATTTTAGTGAATAAAAAATGATATAAATATTGAAAATGCTATACACAAATATTTTTTCTTGAGTTTCTTGCCACGTGCCATATAGTCATACGCGTAGCCCGACTTTTCGAATTTCCACATTAAAAACCAATTAGTAAAGTGTAAGGAAACTGAAATAAAAAATTCATTCATCGGCTGGCAGGAAATTCCCAAGTGAAATTTATGAATGAAAACCAGAAAATTGGTCCTAAAACTCGGCTCAAGCTCATTAATTTTTATGCGACTACCATTTGGCAGTGAAAGTAAGTTAGGTTGGGTAATTAAACTCGGTACACAATGCAGATTGTCTGGTCGTTCGCTGGGTCTGTGTCTGGGTCTGGGACTGGGACTGGTACTGAGACTTGGTGTTCGTCAACGTCTTGGTCATATCCTGTTAAACACATTACGAACAGGTAGAGTCCAACAGGTACTTCAGTCCAGAGCAGAGACACGCGCTGTTGCCTCCAAATAGAGCAGCAATTGTTGGCTGTGGGTGCGGTTGCAAAGGTAGGGCCAATGGGTCTATATCTCTGACTGGCCATGGATCCTAGATATTGGCTGGAATTGTGGATTGAGTGCTCTATGTGAGTGCTTGTGGCAATCAACGCAAATACTCGCAAGCAGAAATGTATCTTTGTATCTTGTCTGTGTTCTGTTGTTTGTTTGCTTGTTGTTTGTCTTTCGGAATTTCACAAAATTCCTTTTATATGCTACAATTTTTATGTTTAATCTAAGTGTGTACACGAACATGTGTCTTCGTTCCTCTTTCCGTGATTCGGTTTCGGTTTGGGCTTTTTTATTTACTTATTTCTTTTACTTATTCATTCTGTTTTTGTTGTTGTTGTTGTTGTTTTTTTGCGGTATTTGTTGTCGCGGTTTTCTCCATTGTTCTTAAACAAACGCATTTTATGCGGCTCTTGTGTTTGCAATGCATTTTACAAGAATATGTCATCAAGCAACTGCACGTGTTGCTCTTTGCACAGAGCTCAAGTGATTCTGGTCTGTCCTGCAGGAACTTTGTAGTTGTTCTATGAACTGATTTGTATAGTCAATGTCAACTATGTCCCAAAAATTTTAATAAACTGAAACTAGCTAGTTATATATTTATTATTATTTATTATTTATTCATTTATTCAAATAAATAAACAGCTCTATGGAAATATCTGTTGATAAATTGGTTTTCCTTTATATAAAATGGTTTTTATACATTTTTTTTATGCTTAATGACATCTTATTTTATTATTATTGAATATATCACCAGGATCCCATAACTATCTTCTATATTTTTCATTACGTATTCAATTTTTTTTTGTATTAATCTACTTTTGGTAAAAAACGTAGAATTATTAAAATATTATGATGATCCTCAATACTTACTTATAAGAAAAATGCAATGCATAAAATATATATTTCTTTTTAAATATGGCAATATGGCATGAGCTGAGCCTTGACAAAAAGTTCTATGACTTGAGTCTGTATGACTAAATGTGGGTAGATATACACATATATATATGAATACATATACATACGTAATTATATTTCTTTTGTTTTTAAAGTCTTGTGAGGAAACGTTGCTTTTTTTTCTTGTTATTTTCTATATACATACATATGTATATTGTTATTTTGTTTTTCGTTTTTTTTTTTTTTTTTCATACATATGTATGTATGTACATACTCGTAATGTATATTTTACTGTTGCTGTTGCTGTTACTGTAGGGGCCTATTGATAAGGCCCGTCATTGCCCGTCGACCGCACACACACATACACACCCGCACACACACGTGCGCTCACACACACATAATGTGACATACATACGAACGAACCGCAGTTTTTGCTATGGTGTTATGGCGCAGCTTTGCTCTGAACACTTACGCATACCCACACATCGTATATAGCGTACATACATAGACATAGGAATACACATATGTATGTATACATGTACATACGTATATGCCGTGCTCATACATTTGTGGAGCACTTGTTCGGTGAACAGCGACCCCAAAACCTACCCCCGTACCCATACACAATGTAGTCACGGGCCCCTCTAGCAAGCAACGCAACCGCCTCCATAGTTGCCCTTGTCTGCGCCTCTACCTCTGCCTTAGGCTACGACTCTGGCTCTGCCTTAGCCTGCGCATGCGCCTCTGCCTCTGCATCTGCCACTGCATGCGCTTGCTCCACAGCGACGTTGGAAGTATTTGTAGCTACGAGTTTGAGTTCGTTGTTCGTCATGCTGGTTTCATGTGATGGTCGTATTTCTTCTTCTTTATCGAATTTGTAGCTATATACTCATAGTTGCGCAGTACTCATAGTCTATATGCTACTTACTTTAGGCCACTGGATAGTAACTTCTAAACATGAAAGTGTAGTCGACATATAGGAAAACGATATAATACATTCCTATAAAGTATTTTACGAAATCCTTGGCTTTGGCTAAACAGCCGATGTTAATATGTGTACATGCATATAAATAAAATTGAATACAAATAATTCATTCTAAGTAAATGTCATGAGCTCGGGGATTGGGATTGGCAGGATTTGTAATAAGAATATCACTCATCTATTAATAAGCCATATCCATATCAATAAGCCATTAATAAATATAACTGCTTACTTTTCAAGAAAACACTTACGAGGGAAAACAATTGTGAGAAAAGAAAAATTACCTTATCAATTGCTTATAAAAACAATAGTTTTCTTCAGAATAAGTTTTTAATATATATAGTATATAGTTTAGTAAGGCAACGACCATTGAAGCACTCACCATGCAACACGTGCGTCATTCTGACGCGTGCAAAGCTCAGTTGGGAATAACTCGATCGATTGGATAGTAATCCACAGTTTCGATCAGATCCGTTGCGCTCATTATGAGGGGCGTTCCACGAGACACATGTGGTCTATGGCTGATGATGAGATCGTAGAGCGAGGACCGTAGATCACAGATCGGGCATCTGGCATTCACACACACACACAAATACACATACACATACGATCGCTGAGTCGCATGCTAAGCAAGCGTTAAATTTATAATTTGTTAGCGCGTTTGCATTTGGGCTCGTTCGACATTTTCGTAGGCGTCAACCTTGTTTATGCGACCACATAAATGTGTCACAGTCAACTCTTTTGGGGTATTCCGGGCGCCCCTTGGGCTGTTGTTTAAACTTCGTCACGTTTTGTGGTCAAATATTTTTACCAAAGGATTTTCCATGCGCCGGCGCAACAATTTTCCATAACGAGATTTCGCGCTAAAAATGTTTGCCTTGTTGCACGCCCACCGACAATCGGTGTGATTATCACCCGGCACGGCCCACAGGAAACCGGAGACGGAATATGGAAGACGGCACCCGCATCTGTCTGAGCGATCGGAGCTGAAACGATCCGAGCGGCGACTTACTACTACAACTTTTCAAATGCTACTCGTGAGACTGAGACCCGGTTCCACCAAAGCAACACGAGTAAAATATTCTTGATTAAAACTTATCAGAGCACATTTCATATCACCTTTTCAAAAACGCAACAAATAACAACAACAAGCCACAGTCAACACCCAATGAGTAACGCTCGTCAGCTCGGTAGCTACTTTATTATCGGAGCAAACAGTCGAACTCGTTCTCCGTACCTCGTTTCCCGTTCCCCGATTCCTCGATTTCCCACTTACCATACCCTGCTGCCCCGGTGTGTGTAGTTTGGCTGCCTCTCGGATTGGACGACCGCAAGATATGGCTATCTGAGTCGGCACAGTGTACCACCCAGCCCCACAGACGCCACAGAGTGAGAAAGAGAGAGAGAGAGAGAAAAATGGGAACCAAATACGATTTGATTAAGTTGCATCACGCGTCGGTCGCGCGACTATACTTATCGGACCAACTGTATGTCTCTGCCTATATACGTACACATATACATAAGTCATGTATTTGTGCGCGATTATGCCTCCATATATCCTTATCAATATTTCTATACGTTTGGAAAGGTTTTGTTTTGGTGACGATGACTACGGAAACTTGGGAAACACCGCCAGCACTGATTGCCGCTATCTGAGATGTTCATGTAAAAAAAAAAAAAAAAAATTAATAGCACGTCAAAAAGTTGCAGCATTTACGGAAGGTATATTTAATTGTGAATAGTTTTATCAACTTAATAAATAATTTGTATGCAGGTTTAATCAGCTATCTGCTCAATAATCAGCTTAATAAACGTGTAGCAATCATCTAATAATATATTGTATATGTATGTATATAGTATATTTAAAATAGTATTGTTTGTGTATAACACCATCAAATTTTGTATTATGATTAATTAAAAGTCTGGCCTCTAAGACGGGTATATATATATATAGGATCCGGCATCCGATCATGTTTTGACTTTTAACATTTTTAATAATTAGAAAATATAAAATATGTATTTAAATAAGTCACATGTTTTGTTTATATTATGTGAGCGTAATTTAAATAATAAATTAAATAATATAAATAACAATAAAACAAAAGCATATCACGAATTCTCCTCAAGATTTTATTAGATAATCAATGTGGAAACTATATATACATGGAATACCCAAACACTTATGATGAGTAATTTCACATTTGTTATTTGTAGATTAACTTTGATAAAAATAAAGAAATACTCCAGACTGTCTGGTTGGGTGTCTGCAAAAATTTAAAAGAATACAAAATAAATAAGATAACAATATGAATAGAACGATAAACGATATAAGAAAGGGAAACTACTTAGCTATATACAAAAGGCCGGCTCGCAGTGACGTCACAATAACTGATAAAATGAAAGAAACACGCACACAAACACACACATATTGCAAACTGATAAGGGCCAGAGAGTAGCCGAGATTGTCAAACAATGGGTAGAAAAGTCAGATAAGAAGGTAAACAACCTGCATGCAAAAACTTTAAGCAGGCGCCGTGGTCAGCCCAGAGAGAGAGAGAGAGAGAGAGAGAGAGAGAGAGAGAGAGAGAGAGAGAGAGAGAAAGGGCCCGGATCGTAAGCCGATAATAATGTGTGGGTGTGGCTGCGCCCTATCGACGAGAATGGGCGGCAATAACAACGACCAAAGCCCGGAAGACGTAGTACGGGCAAAAGATAAAAACCAAATGCTGTAGACGCCAGACGCCAGACTCCCGACTTAAGACTCGGACAACATAAAGGTCATACAGTACAGCCATTGAGAAGTCATACATGTATAAAATATATAAATACATATAAAACTGTATGTATATAAATATAAATGCATATACATACATATATATGTATATATCCCAGAGCCAAGAACATGGCTTCTCCCGAAGCAAATGCCCAGAGACTTGGTTTATCAGCGTTTTGTTTCTTTTGTTTGGCTTTGTTGCATTGTTTTCCTTTCGGGTGCCCAGCGATAATTTAATTTAAATATAAAATATTAATGGTCATTTAAAAGCGGGAATTACAATAAGCGAAACGCCAACCAGATAAGCCGAGCTATTCAACCACAACAACAAATCTGTTATAAAAAAAAAAACACCAATGAAATTGAAAAATGAGCAGAGGCTATAGCTTGAAGACTCACCCACTATATATATAACTGCATATATATAAATATACATATGGACAAATAAACATCTATATATACATAGATATTTATATATACAATCTTTAGCCGCATCATCGGAACGGTGCCGTTTAAAAAATAAAAATCAAACGAACTCCTAAAAAGAATTGAAAAAAGCAGAAATAAATTATTGAATGTGTAAAACGCCTCTAGAGGCTTGCTTTGGGGTCAATTGTGTTTATTAGCTGTGCTCCATGCTCATAAGTAATGTTCGACTGCTGATAAGACAGAGCTAGTAGTCAGCTCTGTGAAGAGCAGCAGGCAACTAAAATGTAAAGTCAAATAGATTGAAATTGTGTTATGAGCTGTGCTGAGCTCAGCTAGAATAGTGCATTTTCACGGACTCCTCATTTAAATTGTTCCCTTTGATTTTTAGGCAGCTATTCCTTTGAATATTTTATAGAATTATTCAATATTAAAATTGCTTTTGAAAATGTGTGCTTTCTCTATATTATAATTATTTCGAAATGAAAAAATGTTCACATTACTCAACATATTTAATAATTCCTGAGCAAGACGGAAAGGTTTACATGCTTTAACTATATATTATAGTCATACACTTTTTTTTTCATCTTTTAAAACGTATATACAAAAATGTATTTTCCAGTGAAAAAAAAAAAACTTTTTAAAACAAGTAGTTATTTAATATTCATTTATTTTTATAGCACTAGTAATTTGATTTACATTTTTATAGCACATCTTGAACTAGTTCCATGAACACTACATTTGCAAAAGGCGGCAACTCCGTATATGTATATAAACCATATGATAAGGTCGCTACACTTGAGATTTTAGATAAGCTCATTCGCCGGCAATACATCCGAATAGAAAAACTGATTAGTTTTTATAGAACCACATTGCGATTCAGTCAGTGAAGCCAAAGCAAAATGTCGCAGAAGGATAATTTTACGTTTCGTAGGGCCGAAAAGACGGATATGAAAGTCGTGATAGAAATGATACAAGTAAAGTATAATGTATATGTATTAGATATACACAATGATACATAGTAAACTAAACTTTTCTCAAGGAACTGGCCGACTTTGAGCGCATGAGCGACGGCCCGCAGCTGAGCGAGCAGGGTGAGTAGAGAAGTATAGAACAGTTTGTCACCTTGTTGATCATTTGTCCACATGCAGATCTGATACGTGATTCGGGCTTGGATGGCGGACACGAGTATTGTCAAGTCTATGTGCTCACAGACAATGCTACAAAGTAAATGAGGACAAATACCTGATAAGACATGAGATCATTGGCTAGCCAGGCGTCAAATTCAAAGACGCTACGCAAATGTTTGCTGATCAAACCGACCAAACGGTCAATTGGGAAATCTGTTTGGCAAACATTTGCGGTTGCTGCTCTACTCGGCAAACGGAAAAGATTTTGACGGCATTAAATCAACATATCAATATTTCTCTCAACAGCGCCAGCATTGGCTATGCGATCTGCTTCTACTCGTACTCCACCTGGCAAGGACGTTCTCTATTTCTTGAGGATCTCTATGTACGTCCGGCTTATCGTAAGCAGGGCACCGGTGCGCGAATCTTTCGGGAGGTAGCAGCCATTGCGGTTCGACAGGGCTGTCGGCGATTGGACTTCCATGTGCTCAGCTGGAATCCGGCATGCGGATTCTATAATCGTCTAGGCGCAACGAATTTAACCCAGTCGGAAAGTTGGCAATTTTACCGCGTAGAGGAGCAACAATTGGCCAAGCTAGCTGAAGAATTAAACAGTTAACGAGTTGGAAGTTCTTTGATCTGTCTATTATGTTGGCCTTATTAACAATAAATAATACTTTGCTAAATTCATTTGGCTATTCACTGGTCACCGCTGACACTGGCTATGACATGGATCTGCATGCTTTTGGTTGAGTTGTACACCTGGCCGGGTGGAAAGGGATGCACCCTGGAATGGGAATCGGATTTATTCTTGCCACCCGCTGTATACTTGGACAGTCGTATGCTGGGCATGGGCAGAAAGCCAGTACTCAGTGGCATAACATCCAGTGATATCGAATGACAGTCCACATCCTTCATGGATACAACGCCTGTAAAATTGCACAATTCATTAGAATGGAATTAAATCCACAAAAAATAAATAAAGATATGTAAGCATAAATTTGTAGTCTTTCAAATGAACCAATTAATTGCCTAGCTACTTGAACAACAAAATTCGGTCAGAGCGAAGAACAAAACCGAAGTACGAAGAACATCTAAAAGCCTTTATATAACATATTAACAATTATTTTTAATCATTTTTTTATATTGTCAGTTAGCTTTTACAGTTAGGTCTTAGGTAACAGATTCAGCAAATGTATTCTAGTACAAGAGAATCATAATTTTAAAGTTTCTTAATAGAATTCGAACTTTTATTGCTTATAATGAAATGATTTTAAAATGTTTCTATAAATGCCATTAGATGCTTGAATATTTTTGGATATGTTGTTTGCAACTACTAGTGTACATAAACCAAAAACTTACCCATGTCTTTATATGCATTAAAAAGTGTATTTTACGTGTCAAGAAATTAGAATTAAATAATAAACAAATGGGATATTCCAGTTAAAGCGACTTACCAGCTGATCGACCACATACGGCCCACAGATTCTGATCGTTGAGCACCTCGTACATGAGATCGACATATGGATTCTCATTGATCTTGGTTATCTTTATATTCAGGTTGCAAACAGTGCGCAGGCGACAGAGTTCGTTCGGCTCCAGCTGTGCCTGCAGCTTGAAGAGCGTTGAATAGTCGACCAGATCGAAGGCACAGCCATAATTACGCCAGATTTGTGGCTGTGCTGGAGTTGCATACTTGACCACAAAGTGCACCTTGACAATGGGCAGTTCGTGTTCCGCTTTCAAGGGCTCTACTTGTATCTCATATAGATAGGTAACCGTCAAAGATTTATAAATTTCCTACAAGTGTCAGATAAGGTCAATACAAATCTCTACAAGTGTTCTATCGACTTACGATTGGTGCTTGCGATTCAGGATTGAGATCGATGAGACGCACACCAGCCACGTCACACTTCACCTTAGCATGCTGCAACAATAGCCGCGCATCCAGGCCCTTCATAATGACCTGTAGGAACTTTTGCGTGCCGCACGTGTGAAGCCGGCAAGTCGCTTCCATGGCGGGCTGAAAGTCAATCGGGATTTGTAGATCGGTACGCGACCAAGGGCAACTGAGCGTTATGTGATGTTCATGATGCTTGGATAGTTTGCGGCCAGGCATATCGGTAAGCACCTCGAGCGGTATGCGACGCTCCTCGAAAGATTTGAATTGAAGCAAAGGCAATTGCAAAACATTCTCGAAGCCGGCGTCACTATTACTCTGCGTCGTCTCATCGGACTTGAGAGCTTGGCGTATGCGTAGATTCTTCGAGCAGCGCAAAGTAATATGTGCATCTGGTGGAAAAATGAAACTGCCGCCAGATACATTCAAATAAATGGGCTGGACAATACCCGCAATTAGTGTCTTGAATTCTAGCGAGGCGCTTGCTGGCTTGGTGCAAATCTCAAAACTCGGCGGCTGCAAATTCAACGGCAACTGCTCCGAGAGAAACTCTAGACTAGACATGGTAATACACAATTGCTTAAATTGCCAACGTCCGACGCGCGTTGCCTTGCCCTTAAGCTCGACGAGATTAATGCCCGGCTGGAGGGCAATATTCGTAGTCTGCACGACGTTGGTGAAGTCCGCCTGAACACTGGGCGACAGTTTACGCTTGGTGCTGCTGGTCCGTCGCACAGGCTGTTTCGTCTTTGGCGTGTCACATACGACCGAGGCACAGTTTAGCGTACTGTCCTGCTTATGGAAGAGCTGCAAAGAGACCTTCAGCCGCGATGCACAATCCTTCACGAGAGCCACTTCCTGCATGCCTGTCTCCAAATCGTTACTCAGATGCAGCTCATAGCAAAGCTTCATGCACTCAACTACGATCTCTCGAGGATACAGACTTTCCAGCCTCAGTTGCACCAGCAGGTGGTCATCTTGTATAATTGGCTTCGCATTAAGCACTTCGATGTCCAGCATGCGAAAATGGTCCTCCAGCACACAGAAGTTTGCATTCTCAATTGATGGCTGGGCCGATAATGTGGTGTCCAGCGATTTCAATGACTTCAGGAACTCATCAAAGTAGAAGGTGCGCACGAGAATCTCCAGTTCGGCACAGCAGGATATGGAACTGCAGGTTTTGGTATAAGCCAGCGAATCGCCCATCTTACGATAACAGTTGGCCAGCTCTAGCAGCGTCTGGGAGCTAAGCATATGCCAGTTCTCTGCCTTCAATTCCCGTAACAAATCCGTAAAGAAACCCACCGCTTTGTGGGGTTCATTCAAAGCGCAGTAGAATTTACCCAGATCGAGACCAACCAACCGCGCAGATCTTAGGCGCGTCACGTGTTTATAGGTGCTGATTGCAAGCTCCGCCAACTCCAGGTAGAGCTTTTGGAAGGTTTGATTAGAGCCTAAAGCCTCTTTGAGCTGTTGTGCCGCCGACAGCTTAGGCTTTCGATTCGGTGAACGATCACGCAGTTGTGGCATCGCCTGCAGAAATTGTTGCTGCTGTTGTGGTGGTGCATCACCAATGCCCGATGAAAGTTGCACCACAATGTGCAATTGCTCCGAACTGGGTGTACAGCCTGGCAATAAGCCGCAAAGTTTACCCAGCTCATATAGCTTGTCCTTAGCCAGATTCCAAATTGGAGCGCAGTGCTGGAAGCACGTCACTTCATTAGGTTCCATCGCCTGTTCGCAGAGCTGTAGCACTTCGAGAGCGCAGACAAACTCCCAGCAGCTCAACGCGCCCTCCTGGCAGTCCAACTTGATAAATTCTACCTCACGTAACGTGGAGAAAAGAAACCCTAATAAACGTTTCGCTATCTCGGGTATTTCATTGCAAGTGAGCAATAGGTAAGCTTGTCGCTCAAACAAATAGTTGCGGAACTCTAAAAGAGAGACTCCTTCATTTCGTATTTTTTGGCGCATCTCAAATTTGTCCACGCGGCTCAGGCATATGCCATGGAAAGCTGTAAGCGGACGCTTAAAGTATGCTAGCCATTGTTGCTTCTCATTGAATCCCGTGTGCGTGATAAACTGTGAGAACATGGCATCCAGCTCATCATATTGTATTAGTGCCTCTGTTGGTAGCTCCAATTTCTCAAAAATGAGTGCCAGATCCTCTTGCATAAAGAAATATTGACGAAAGTCCCAATCATCATGATTACGTTTCTCCCGTTTGCTCCGTATTAACTCCTCGTATTTGGCAATGTTGCGATTGTAACTGGTGAGCATTAGAAAACGGATGCGCTGCACCAAACAGCGAAATGATTCCGTTGATTTTTGCTCAAATTTAGCTGGATTCAATACGGAAATGCAACGATCATCGTTTTTACTGCCGAAATCCAAACGTATTTTATCCAGTACCGTTGTTCGAGGCAGTAAATTCTTCGTTTTCCGCATATCCAACGTCTCCACCAACAGGATCATCCAATCAGATACGCCATAGCTGGACAACAGTTTAAGCCACGAGTCTATTTCCTCTCTTATCGTTGCTTTGTATGTGTCAATGTCCTAAGATAAAAATATACATAAGTGTTTACTGCTGTTGTACTTATTTTTCCGCCCCATTAACATCCCCAATGCACACACTCACACCCACATATCCACTTACATTACATTCGGTCACAAATATGTGCAGTATGGGATGTTCAAGTATGCTCCAATCGCCCTTTTTATATCGCTCCAGTGGCTCGACACTGAACTGCTGGGTCTGAGCCTCCAAGCGTACATGTTTGGTTGGTCTTTGGAAGGTACGTCGCCATTCGCAGGTATCCAATGGGATTGCATTTAGTATTTGCGCTTCAAGCGATCGAAAAAGCGGAAATGAGCCAGAATCTGAAAACATTCAAAATTTTTATAAAATTAACCAACTGTATGATTAAAGAACTCTACTTACATGTTATAATAGGCTTTATCTGCATTCTTAACTCAATTTATTAATAGTTATTTTCATTTGGGGATAGCACAAAGCAAACAGTCAACGTACAACACGATAACAGCTGACATCGCTGCAAATGCAACATATGTTTTTGGCATGAAATTTAACATTTCGCTTTATGTTATTCACAATGTTACTTACAGCCAATAGAGGCAGAAGAGCATTTTTTTCGTTTAGAAATACAATATATAAGTATGGGCAGATTAAAAACAATATTTTTACACAACTAAATAGGAACGAAAATTGACGAATTTTGACTAACAGTTGCTTTTTAACAGGAATGTATAACAGCCACATAGCAGCAATATATCGATAGTAAAAATTCATCGAACAGCTGAAAGCGGGCGAAAGCTGAGGTGTTGCTAGAAACAATGCTGTGCTAATTAAGAAAGACAATTGAGTTTTACAAGTAAACAATAAAAAATACCATATTTATTTAGATAGCTGAATGTTTAAGTGTACAGACAATTAACATATACGGAATATGGATATGGCCAGAAGCATTTTTGGTCGAGACCACGAGGGTTACGTGGGCCGTGAAGAACATACGGTAACAATTCAATTGAGATGATAGATTGCTTATCAATCTAATTAAAATTGCTCATTTTCCACGCTACCAACACAGCGTAAAATACAGACCTTGAGCTCTGACGACGATGTAGGTGAGCTGCCAGTCATGATGGAAGAACTGAGTATCGCAGATGGCTTGCGTCCAAGTCCTGGTGGACCCTTTTCAGCCTTGACACCTTCAATGTGGCCACAGGAACTACTCGCTAAGCTGGGTGGCGAATCGGAACTGGCAGCGGCGGGGCCCAACGATCAGCCCGATTACCGATTTGATGAATTCGGCTTTCGCGTCGAGGAAGAGGATGGCCCCGAACAAAGCTCAAATAAACTGCTTAGCATACCGTTTGTAGAAGATGCACAGCAACGGTTGCAGTGGATCGCTCACCTCGAGTTTGCCCACAACAAGGAGATCAACGAACTGAGCTGGGAGCATGTTGACCAATTATTGCAACGCACTGAAAAGCTGCGCAAAATGGTGCAGAATGGAATTCCACACAGTCTGCGGCCACAAATGTGGATGCGACTATCCGGTGCGCTATCCAAAAAGCAGAAAAGCGAAACTAGCTATCAGGAAATTGTAAAGGGTAAGAATGCAATGCGCAAGACAAGTAAACAGCTTAATGTATGCTCTCCAACTTCACAGCTTCCAGCAACGATCAGTTAATGACTTCGAAGCAAATTGAAAAGGATCTACTGCGCATCCTGCCTACAAATGCGTGCTTTAGTCATCCAAACGGAACGGGTATTCCACGCTTGCGTCGCATCCTGCGCGGTATTGCGTGGCTTTTTCCGGACATTGGTTACTGCCAGGGCACTGGAGTTATTGTTGCCTGCTTGCTGCTGTTCATGGAGGAGGAGAATGCATTTTGGATGATGGTCACTATTGTTGAGGATCTTCTCCCGGCATCGTACTACAGCTCAACATTACTTGGAATTCAAGCGGATCAGCGTGTGATGCAAACATTAATAGCCAACTACTTATCCAGCGTGGATGATACGCTCAAGCGTCACGATATCGATCTGTCGTTAATAACACTTCACTGGTTCCTAACCCTGTTCGCGAATGTGGTGCATATGAAGATATTGGTGCGCATTTGGGACTGGTTCTTTTACGAGGGCTCTATTGTACTATTCCAGCTGACGCTCGGTATGCTAAAAGTGAAAGAACAGGATCTCAAGCATCTAGAAAACTCTGCGCAAATCTTTAATTCGCTCTCAATGTGCTGCGAAGTGGATGACGTTGAAGTGCTGTTCCGGCAAGCTCTCGAGGTGGGTGGCTCTTTGAGCCAGACCGTAATCGACACGCATCGACGTCGCCATCTGGCCTATTTAATGGCGGATCAGGGTCATCAGATAGGCAATCCAGAGGCTGCAGCCAATTTGCCCAAGCAGCATCTATCCAGGCGACAAGTGCGGAAAAGTAAATCCATACTGGAAGCATTTCTGTTTCGCGGCGATCCCGAATCTGATCAACTAAAAAACAAAAATATACGTCAGACCGAAATACTTGTAGATCTGCGCGAGGCAATCCTAAAGGTGGGTCGTCACTTCATCACCATCGAACCAAAACTGGCAGGACACATTCAACTAACGGCGAACTACAGCAGCGAGTCCCATGCCAAGGATCACGAGAACTTCATTAATGTTGCTCGCACACGTAAGCGTCGGGCTAAGGCTTTGCATGACTTTGAGCGGCATGATGACGATGAGCTGGGCTTCAGGCGAAACGATATAATCACCATCATCAGCCAGAAGGACGAGCATTGTTGGGTGGGTGAGCTAAATGGACTGCGTGGCTGGTTTCCAGCGAAGTTCGTGCAGCTGCTGGATGAGCGCAGCAAGCTGTATACCTCTGCTGGCGATGATGCTATCTCGGAGACGGTTACGGATCTTGTCCGTGGTACTCTGGCACCAGCTATTAAGGCATTCCTTGAACATGGCATGAAGCGACCCACATTCCTTGGTGGCCCAATACACCCGTGGCTGTTCATTGAAGAAGTTTCCTCCCTGGAGGTGGAAAAGGATTTTAAGTCTGTGTACAGCCGCTTGGTTCTCTGTAAAACGTATCGCCTTGATGAAGACGGCAAGGTGTTGACTCCCGAGGAATTGCTCTATCGCTGCGTACAAGCGATCAATCAATCTCACGACAATGCACATGCCCAAATGGATGTCAAACTGCGCTCCCTCATTTGCTTAGGCCTCAATGAGCAGGTTCTACATCTGTGGCTAGAGGTGCTCTGCGCATGCCAGGAGGTTGTGCAGAAGTGGTATCACTCCTGGAGTTTTATCGATTCGCCAGGCTGGGTGCAAATTAAATGCGAATTGCGCATACTCTCACAGTTTGCCTTTAATCTTAATCCCGACTGGGAGTTGCCACCAAAACGTGGCAAGGAATCACAACCACTTAAAGATGGTGTACGCGACATGCTTGTTAAGCATCATTTATTCTCTTGGGACCTATGAATCCGGTTGATCTGAGGAAATACGTTGCTTTCTACATAATTTTTATATAAATTTGCATAGTGCTCTTCATTAAGTATGTACAATCATGCACGCTGCCTAAGCCTCCTAAGTATTTAATCTGAACAAAAAATCTAAGCAGGAAATATGCTTTAATATCTCATTATATTAGCTATTGTGCAATCTTTTTTAAGAAACTTTCATCTTCGGCTAGCCGAAGCATCATATCCTTGCAGATTCAGTGTAAATAACATCTAACAAATATGCGTTGCAAGGATATAAAATTAGCTTGTTATAAACTTCTTTGTTGTACGCTTATCATTAAGTTAAGGTATATTTGCTTATAAATATAAATGTAGTTCTTGCTATTTAATTACTTAAAATTATATCCATCCATATTTTTAGCTCCCACACAAAAAGAGAAAACAGCACACAGAATTGTACTAAATTACAAAATAATGTACCTTTGAATTTAAATCAAATCTTATAAGTATTTATGATATATATACACATAAATATTTAAAAATCTTAAATGCATTTCATTAAAGTTTAATATAAATATATATATATATACATATATATAGAAATTGTACACTAATTGACTTCCTAATTGCAGACCAGACCCAAATAATCATCCATCAATGTTCCTATAGCAAACTGTTAAAAAGTGATTAGATATCACAGTTAGACGATAATGAGTTTCAATTAACTTACAATGCCAGTAGCGTCCACACGCGTACCCACAATCTTTAGACGAATTTTATCCTCACCAGAGATGACAACGTCTTCGTCTTTAGACTTGTAGCAAGGCGGGTTTCCATTTGGACAGAATTGCATATCAGCGGGAATGGACTGAAAAAAAAAATGTACAGTTATTCACATTTGCAATGCAAACAAACTGAAACAGCTTACATGGTGTGAAATAAAGCACGACAATGGTCCGATTTCCGCAAACATTCCGACTTTGTTTATCTGCTTAACAACGGCATCGAGGACTTCTCCTTTGAATGGCCGGAACACAATAGCCTTATATTTCACTGGATATACAACAAAACCTTGACCAGGCTGTATCACTCCAGAGCCAATGAGGTCTATTGTTGTAACTGCAATCACGAAACCATATTTGCCCGTACACGTTCCTTCCACCTCCGAGTAGAGCTTCTGCTTCACCGTTTCCAGCAATTGGGGCCCAAAGTAGCGTGGATGTAGCAAAATCTCGTGCTCGAGCGATATCTATATGTATATACGTTATAAATGCAGCTACGTCTACTTTACAATGTAACTTACGTGATAAAACATTATTATTATTGTTTTTAGCAATAATTAAAGAAATTCGGGAACGCCGAGAAAAAGACGCAAGCAACAAAACACAAACTGTTATCGATAATTAATTGGTATTACCGGCATTACATTTCCTTATATCAGCTATCGCTATCGATATAGTACCAGTGCTGAAAACTGAAGCCAGCTTTAAATAGGCGGGGTTTTTAAATAATAAAGTAGTCCATATATTTTAAAAGTATATACATAAATATATAATTTTATTTAATTATCCTAATTGTAACGAACACATTAAAACTAAAATGGAGAAAAATATTTTACGCACACAGACACCTTAATAGCTGGCAATATTTTTCAAAACGATTGCTAAAATCTCAATGAAAATAAAAAACAACAGTTTTTAATTTCTACATATTGCATAAATATATTTAAAAAGTCTTTAACATTTATAGGACTGTTCCTAGGCTGTTCCAATTATTAATTAGATTTTTAACTAAACACAACACATTACAGGCACAATAAATAATAACTTCTAAGTTCCCATCACAAAAATTGCTTAACACATAAACTGATAACGCTCAACTACTCTTCCTTCAGACTTAATTGCAGCTCATGTGCCGTACCTCCTGGCCGGAAGATGCGCACATAGGCCGATTTAAATCCAAATTTCCAAATGGCTACGGTTGGCAAGTAGTACATAAAGAGATCCATTATCCAAACTCGAAAATTGAAATACCAGCGTACAATTGAATACTTGTGCAAGTATGTAACAATAAACAAACCATAACTAACAATAAAGCGATCCCACAAGCTCAGATCATAGTAGTGAGACGTTTGCTGTGGATCAGGTTTTTCTCCTTCAAGATAATCAAAGGTGTAGTATTCATAACCTTTAACGTACGCCAGACGCTTGGTAAAGAAAATATTTGCATTGACTGAGAGCATTGTATTTACATGCCAAAGCCCATGAACTAATGCTTTGGTCATATGATAAAATTCCTCATTTGTTTGCTCCAGCGCCGGCCTATAGACATTACGCATAACAATGTCTAAACGTTCCCTGGATTCTGCCCAATTGCTTCCACATATATTGTACTCATCCTTAATGCCCAGTAAGTAGCCCAGCACCCGCCACATATGCGATGTGGCCTCAAGAAAATCATCATCTTTCAGTGATATGCGATGCGCGCCCAACGTTATAAAGCCGATGAATCCAAACTGTGTCAGTGCCAAATCCTTCTGTGTTATCTGACCGGCACCACGTCGCTGGCAAGCTCGACTCGAGCGAGAATGTGCCCGCCTCACGGCCGCAATGCTCGTCCACAGTTTGCTTCGCCTGTCCTCAATCGGCTGGAAATACCAGGCGTGTACATGGAAAATAGTGCGCAAATAACGGCGATAGGCAGTGAGAGCATTCGATGATTGGCCCGTACAGATAAGAACGCGCAATATAGATGGAATGGCAAGAACCGCAATTAAACCAGCCAACATGCCTGAAGTCATCACAAAACGATATTTGCTGAAATACCTCTGGCCGCTATCCATAGATAGTTTATAATTAGTTATGCACACAAAGTTTGATTGATTTGTATCGTAGCACCACTCACCGCTTGAATAGTTGCTCATCGTACCATGGCGGTAGGTCCAACTCTGCCTCGCTGTCGCCCTCTTGGCTACCATTTGTTAAAAGATTCTCTAAGTAATTCTCAGCACGTTCTTTACTGCCATTCGACATGTTGTCGATTTTGTGTGTACGTGCCACTGAAATAGTTGAAATCAAAGTAAAGCAGACATCATCGATACAATTATACAACAGCCCACAAAAGAGAAAGTTATTTAACAATGCCACATTTCTCACATGCACTTGCAGACGCGTCAGTAACTACTGGACGCCGTCGAGTGAATTTCTTTGCCTTGCACACAAAAGCAAACTATGAAACTAGTGTACAATTTGCACAATCTGTACAATTTACACTTTAGGCAATTGAAGTGTAAACAATTGAGCAATTGTTCCGCGCGAGAGGCTGGCTTCACTGTTACTGATTGGTACGTCCAATTTTGATAATGCACGACCGGTTTGTAAGCTCTTCAGCTCTGGTTTGTATAAGTGTGGCTGTGTGTGTATATGTGTGTAACTGCACAGAGCGCTGCGCGCCTACTGTTCAAATAATTAGAGATAGACTTAACTATTTAATGTTTATGTTAATAAAGTCGTGAAGAGTTGTCATCTTAGGCAAAAATCACAAAAGTCTGTTCCCATATGGCAGCGTGACTTTTGTTATCGATATTCGTATGGCTAAAATTAAAAACAATTTTTTAAATTCGTCAGTGTAAAAACTATACATTGTATTTACTTTTTGATGGAATTATTATTTCTTTAATATACATTACATTATAAGTAAAATATGATACTTTTTCAATAAAAATAATAACGAATATTATGCAATATTAATATTGTGTATATGACATGTGAAATATATTGTCATGTGGTTTCCAGCCCAAATGAAATTAAAGAAATGTATTTACAAATCAATATTAACTGAAATTACATTTAAACTTGAAGTCATCTGGCTTTGAATTCCATTTAGCCGCAGTGTTCAGTTGACACTTGTTCTGTTAATTTTGAGCTTAACAGAGCTCTTTAAATCTGCCAATGTTAAATTAATATACATACACATGTAACTAGACCCAAGCAGGTGTTTGCTAATTGCTTTGCCGACTTGCCGACTTAAAAGTTCGTTGTAACATTTGCATTTTATTGCGTATAAGCCATATTACAATATTGTTCATGAACTTTAGAATATAAGTATATAAAGGACTACATCGCAACACCAAGTGCATACCAACATGTTCAAAACATTTATAATCAATTTGGACTTAACACTAAGCATACTCTGCACTTACACATTAAAAATTATTATTGTTATATGTGTGAGTGGGCAAACAAGGCGCAAGTATATAAAAAAAGAAAACTTTGTCTATTATACAACAACACCCTTGGAGGGCTTTGCGCCCAATATATCGGATAGTTTTTGCTGATAGCTAGCCAATGAATTGACGTCAGTTATCCCACACGCTTTGCAGGATAATTGCAATGCATTCAGCAATTGCATCTCTGAGAATTGTGTGCCGCGTTCCAGCAAAGCATTCAGTATTTCCTATAAATAAAAATTAACATTCATACTTTATCTATATAACTACTACATAAACTCTTACATCTGGTTGCATGCAGAGCAGCTCATAGAAATGTTTCGCCTGATCCAAGGCAATTTCCCTAGATGCCGTAATGTTGCTTAACGTTTGCTGCAGTGCAATCGAATTGCGACACATGCGTTGCACTGTAATTTGATCGATGTTCTCCAAGTAATTGGAAGCCTGTATAAGAATGCGCGCTGCCAGATGAGCCAATCCCTCGAAAATGTACTGGAAAGAAAATATGGTTGAAAAAAACAGCTGTTTACTGTATGTTCAGTATAGTTACCCTTGTTTTGCGTGGGTGCAGAGTGGCGCTGAATGCCTCATCCATTTCGGACAAACGTTTCGTTAGTACCAGGACTTGACGATCTGGCTCTAGTATATCATCCTTGGATCCCACATAGCTATTGGTTCTTACGCTCGTTTTAGATCGCAAGTAGTGGAAGCATTGCACTCGAACCTCCAGATGCAGTACTAGCAGACACGTATTTGCGAGCTCATCAAATTCCAATGCCAAATTAGTCATCACCTTGATGGTGCCATCCTTGATGGCCACATTTGCCGCACATTCGGGCGTTGCTGTGGTCATGCCATTGACCAACGGACGCCTCAGCTCATTGGCAAACTCTGAGACACGGCACGAAAACCATTCCATGCTCTCCTGCAATATAGCTAACTCCTTAAGGACGCTTATGTCAGCCAGAATTTCCTGCTGCGTTATGCCGCCTTCACCTAAATTGCTTGTTAGCATTTCGGCCTCACGAATATTTCGTTGCTGGACCTGGAGTGGACTTTCTTCCTCAGACGGTTCAAAGTTGCCACGTTGAAGTTTACGCGTGTGCTTTGCGCGTTGACTTGAGGTCTTCAAATCGGTCCAATTGGGCAGAGTTCTACAATGAAAGGTAATAATGTACTTCATGGTCTGTAAGCCCAATAGTAATCTCTTACTTTAAGAAGCGACTTATGTCCTCATCCTTTAGCCAAGCAACACTATATATGCGCTTATCTTCTGAATCCGGCTGCACAATGCCCCTGTAGGCTGTCTGGCATATCTCGCGATACGCCTTGAGCAGCGCACACACCATCTTTAGCAGCTCTTCCGAGTAGCAGGGCAAATCCTGAATTAAATTCTTAGTCTCAACCAAGCGACGTTCCACCATGACGGTGGACTGCAATAGGGGTCGACTTAAATTTAACGCTTTCATTTCCTCGGGCGTTACAATGGCCCGCCAGGCGTCCTGATTCTTGGACAGCGACTCAATAGTCAACTGCAAGTTTCGATTATGACCCTTTGATAGGAATGTATCCTTTATATAATTATCCACAAAATCGTGCAGACTGCAGGGTTGACTATTAAATAGATGATTAGTATATGAGCTTTTGGACTGGATATATTGTTATTGACGGGCTTACCCTGGTTTACACTTCATAAAGTTCTCAATCTCCTGTATGTAGCCCATTAATGGCAAATACACTTTGGTGATCACGTTCTGATCGGGCGTACATATCAACAGCTTTTCCCGCTGTTTCTTTTCATGCGGCAGCAGGCCTGTCACAGATCCCTTGCCGCTGCCTAGATGATTGACACCTAAATTGTCATCAACAGAAGCATCCGAGGCATTGCGTCGATGCTCCTTGAAAGGCTCCTGAGTACTGCTGTTGCTGCTGCCTACATTTCCGGCTATGTGCGAAGACTTATCAAACTTGAACATGGCTTTTTTCGTGCTGACAAATAAGAGAAACAAAAATTTACAATTATTTTTTACTTATTAAGTTAAAATCATTACTAACCTTGGAACTTTACGCCTTAGGAAATAGGAGTTAATATTGTTTATGGGTTCCACAAAGCCCGTTTGCGTGCCCTCATCTGCCGATGCGTTTTGGATATCCAAATAGTCCGTAAGCAAGAGTTGCAACTGAAAAGTAAATTATATATTAATTACAAGTCTACGGCATATAAGGCATATACACATACCACTGACTGAGCCTGCGCCCAAAAGTCCGTCAGGTCGTACGGCTGTGGCCCCACGACCGCATATTTTTGACCAACGGCCAGGTAGTTCTTCAGCAGCAGCGTATGCGTCTTCGCAATAGCTTTGAACTGTTTGAATATGATATCCAGCAGATTAAGCAACGGATTGCTATCTCCTGCACCGCCCTGTAATGCACCATCAGCCGCCAATTGTTGCGTCGTGTGTCGTACCACATTAAGCAACTCTGTTTGAATTTGGACTCGCAGTGTTTCCAACGAATCGGGCACCTTGTGCAGCATGCCAAAACATTCTACAATAATGGCGATAAAGTAATTCATGCTCAGTTCTGGATCGATCAGATCCGCATCCTCTATGATCTCCGCCTTGTCCAGATCAAAGCCCTGTGCCATTTCGCTCAATGCTTTGCGCACGCGTGCATTGGCCTCAATTCGATCCGTGGACCGGCGGGCGCCAATGCCACGCGTAAAGCTGGAATTGAGGCGGCTCGAGTTGCTGCGTTGGAACGCTTCATTAGCAGAGTTCTTATACACTTGGGTAACTAGCTCCTCGTGTAGCCGATGATAGAGTTGTTGCCGGCGAGTTTGCAAATCGGTACGGAGATCTGCCAATCCCTCGACGCCCGCCAAGGGGCCGCTGAGCGTGGCTAAAGCATCCGTAAGCGCTTTGCTGGCATGCAAATACTGACGCTTCGCCGTGAAACTGACCACACGTTGAGGCACTTTTCGTAGCTCCTGGCTACAAAACAAAATGAGTTGTGAGAATTGAATATAACTGAGATATTTGTTACTTACATCTGCTCCAGCATCTCAAGCACATACTTGTGCTGTACTGCATCCGTCCACATCTTTTTAAGTTCATCGCGACGGCATTGCAGAAGCCGCTTGCAGGCACCCAGATTCTCTTTGACTGCGTGGATACGCTCACGACTGGCAGTCACCTCGGTGGACACTTGGCTGAATAGTGGCAGTACTTGGGTCAGCTGTTGGTCATGGCGTGAGACGAGTTCGTTCAATCGCAGATCCGATCGCTTGAATTCTTGTTCGATTTTATCCTTCTCCTTTTGACGCTCCTCGGTCGTCTCGCTGAAGCCCAGCGATTTGATGACGTTGACGAGAAAGCCACAGCCGGCGGACTGAAAATCCAAATAAAAATTAAAAAAGCGCACACGCCCAGCTAAATTACAATCCACGAATTCGCTATTATCAACTATCAAAAAGGGCGTAAAACAACAAAAGCAGCAACATAACAACAACAACAAAAACAACACAACAACCGCATTACGAGTCCGCAACAGAGGTGTCGTCATCGGCTTGGTAATGCCAAACAGTATTTTGGGGAAAGCTATGTTGCACCGTGTTCTTGGTATAGCTCTTGATTGATTTACCCCACAGTTTTCTCAGTTTTCTTTTATCACATTCATATCCAATACTTTTTTTTTAGCGATTTCTTGAATAAATGTACCTCATCCTTTCCATATTTAACGCCTCTGGGTGGCTTTGTTGGCGGCGGCGCGTCCATACAGATGTGATTTAATTTAAAGTTAGCCGAGAACGATCTCCGTACTGCAAAATTAATTGATTTTACTTTTTGTTCTTTTATAACATTTTGTGTAGCAATTGTTTTATTTTTTAATAAATGAGCTGCAAAAATACACCAATGTGGCAGCCCTGGCTGTCAGTGTGACCGTGTACATGAGATTTACGTGTTTTTGTAGTGAATTTGTTGCTCTGCGAAATTTAACAGCAACATGCTGCTGAATCATACGCGTCGGTTACCCGCTGAGTTGATCAAGATTTTCGATAAATATCGAAATATATACTTTTGAAAATGTTGCAAACGGAATAAGTCCATTTGATAGTCCCATTAAAATGCAATAACCGACGACTATATTTTTAATAAAAAGAAACCCGATTTAGAACGTTGAGTTGTTTTGAACTTTGAACTTTATTGTT